GGCCAGAGGGAGTCATCTCTAAAGACTGCTGCCTGCCTGAAATGACAAGTCTACTGCCTGCCTTGTTTTAGAATTCCAGGCCAAATGTGAACATTCTCTCAGACTTTCATTAGCTTGGCTGGGAAACTGCACATATTACTCTTGTATGTGTGTGTGCACATGTCAAAATATCTAATAAGAACCTAATCTTCTAATGATAAAAGGAAGAATTCTACCCTAATAGGATAGTTTTTAAATTCTCTCGAGTCAGCTGTGGCCATGATTTTCCCGTTTTTTTCAGAGGCTTTTGATTATATTAGCACAGGCATGAATCTGAGCCCTGCTTGTAGTTGACAAGTGTGTGTGTGGTGGCCCATGAGCATCTTTGAGTATCTCGATGTTATTCATTAGCTTGGCTGGGAAACTGCACATATTACTCTTGTATGTGTGTGTGCACATGTCAAAATATCTAATAAGAACCTAATCTTCTAATGATAAAAGGAAGAATTCTACCCTAATAGGATAGTTTTTAAATTCTCTCGAGTCAGCTGTGGCCATGATTTTCCCGTTTTTTTTCAGAGGCTTTTGATTATATTAGCACAGGCATGAATCTGAGCCCTGCTTGTAGTTGACAAGTGTGTGTGTGGTGGCCCATGAGCATCTTTGAGTATCTCGATGTTGCCCTGTAGGGAAAGGATGACTCTATGGGACTCCAAGGCTAAAATGAGAAGTGAGAAGATGAAGAAGGTGGATTTTGGCTCATAAGCAAGACTTTCTCCTGCAGTGTTTTCACTGAAGGTGGACCCACAACCAAAACAGTACAGGGTTTCAGCCTGGTCTCCCCAGGGTCCCTTCTGGTCGTGAAACCCGCCTTGTTACCAGAGTTGGAAAGGATCCTTGCGTCTGCTCCAGGATTTTTCCTGACTGACCCTGTCTCATAGGGAACTTGTGGCCCATCCTGGCAGTGGGATTCATTCTGCCCTGAATTGTCCTGGGATTGCCATGTAGGCTCAGATCTCAGCCCCTCATGGTTAGGGCATTTTGGACTGTTTTCCAATGAAGAAAGACCAAACCAGATTCTAGACTCCAGATTCTACTGTGGCTCTTATGGGCCAAGGCTGAGATGGAGGTCTGTGGGTCTTTCAAGGCCACCTTTAAAATGAGGTGCTTAATGAAGCTTGGAAAGTGGGACAGCTGCCTGACAGCCTTCAGCTGGTCTGCCCAAGGATGTCACCTAGTGGGGAACTCAGGGAATGGCAGCAGGGCCTTGTTTGGCAGTAAATCACTTGATTCATTTGGAGCCAGTGGGTTCTCACCTTGTTTACGAGATGTTCAGAGAGTAAAACATTTGATCTGATATTTAACTGGAATGTATGAGATACTGCTCACAAGTTAGAGCAATCCAGTGTAGAAACAACCTTTTCCATATGTGGGTAGAAGGCACTGGTTGACCCAGAAGTCCAGGGAGCAATCCATTGGCTCTGTGTGGGCACTTCCCCTGTGGGACACAGTTCCCACATCTCAGTGGTGGGCACTGCATCAGATGATGGCCCTAGTGGCCTCCAGGCCTCCTTGTCTGCAGCTGGATAAATTCAGGTGCCCTTAGTTTGTTTTGCACTTAGCCTCAGTTCTCATTTGTCTGGTGGTTTATGGAAAAGAATAATCTCCTTGCACATACAAAAGAATATGTTCCAAGTAGTTTAAAGATTAAGTGTGACGACCAAAAAGTATTATCTTTTAGAAAAATTAATAGTAGGGTATCTTCATGATCTCAAGGCAGGAAAGGAAGTTCTCAAGACAAGCAAATGACAAACTAAAGGACGTGATTGATGAATTTTACCATATTAAAATGTGAAACTTCAGTATAACAAAGATATTGCAAGAAAATTTAAAAGCCACATATTAGGAGAAGATATTTGTAAAAAATGTAATGAAAGGATTCATACCTGGAATTTAAAAATAAGCCCTACAGACAGAAAGGCAGGTGGGGAAGGAGGGAGGGAAGGAAGGAAAGTCAAAGGATATGGACAGTTCATAGAAGAGAAAATGTATATAGTCAGTGAACATGAGGAGAGTTGCTTGGTCTTTCTAGTAATTAGAAATGCAAGTTAAAAAGAAGAGATCAGATTTCTTGTCCGTGAGATTCGCATGACTTTTTAAAAAATCTTGTTTCACAATAATCAAGAGATAGAAACCAACAACCCATGTCCTTTGATGAACGAATCAATAAAACAAAATGCAGTACATGCGACAGTGGAATATCATTCATCTTTAAAGAGGAAATAAATAGTTACGTACTGCAACATGGATGAACCTTGAGGACATTATGCTAAATGAAACAAATCATTTCACGGGAAGGTAGTTACAATATGATTCCATTTATATGAGGTATCTAGAGTAGTTCGAGTCATACAGACAAAAAGTTAGAAGGGTGGTTGCCAGGGCTAGGGAAGAGAGGAATGAGGAGTAATTGTTTAATGGAGACAGAGTTTCAGTTTTGCAAGATGAAAAAGTTTTGGAGATTGGTTGCATAACAATATGAATATGTAACACTATTGAATTGTATACTTAAAAATGTTTTAAATGGTTAGAACAGTTACGGAGATAATGCAAGGAGAACATGTTTTGTATTCATTTGGAGAAATACTACCTCCATCACTTGACTAAATCTCCAAAGCAGCATTGAGTAAAAAGAACATAGATAGTATGATACCATTAGAAATTTTTATGAATGCAAAAGTAGTATAAATGCTGTGCATGGAGATGGACAGCAGGGAATGTAGGGTAACAGTTCTGGAGGGGAAGAGGGCTATGGGATATAAGAAGTGTGAATTGAGGGATTTAGCAACACCTGAATATTTTATTTCTTTGGAAAGCAATTTGAGACTGAACAAGATTAATAAGAGCTTCCTTAAGTGGTGGGTACTGAAAATTTTGTTACATTATTTGCTCTGCTTTTCTGTTGGAAAGTTATTCTTTTTATTTTAAAGGGTGGGGCTCTGTCAGCTGTTTTCTGACTATTCCTCAGTGTGTAGCCCTGATCTGCAATAGTGAAACACTTTCGCAGTTTTTACGGTTAAACCAGTGAAGATTTAAACTGCCTGTGCATTGCTTTTTCAGAGTTTTGTCTCTTGGTGTCCTTATAAGATTTCCTTTGAAGGCAAGACTTTTGCTTAAATACTAAGAGAAGGAAAAGAAAAAGGAGACTAGAAGTCCTTACTGAGCTGACCACTGAGATGCTCTTCCTTTCCAGTAGTCTGCAGTCCTATGAGCTAATGCTTAGGTCTTAGGGGAACACACTCACGTTCCTTGTCTCTGTGATTCTGATTTTTAAATTAGCTCTTTCTTGAGAGTCATATTTATTGAGGGCAAACCCTCCCTCCAAACGGAATATTTAGCAGTCCCAGCTTCTGGTTCTGTGGACTGCAAAGATCTGATAACTCAAGGTCCTTACTGAACGAGCCAGGTGATTCCTGGACTCCTGGAGCTGGGACAGTTAAGCAGGCTTTTCTGGTTCAGTCCCATCATTTGAGGAATAAGGAAACTAAAACCCAGAGATGGGAAGGGACCTACTGAAGGGGTCAGATCCTCTGAGGTGCTAGCAGAAGTCAGCAGGCCCCAACAGCCTCTTAACTAATTTTGTTTTGTCTAGAACAGCACCCCAAGTGAACTGCAGTACCTATAATTCAGAGTAAAATGCTCTGTTGCTTAAAACCCTCTCCCTCAGGATAGTCTTTGCTATGAGCTTGGAAGCTCTGCTCACTTTTCCAGCCTCCTTTTGTGCCCAGTCTGCCTCACTGGGCTGTGGTCACTGTGCCCTGCCGGTTTTTTCTCCTTGTGCCTTGAACACTTCTAGTGGTTCCTGCCTTGAGGTGGTTCTTTGCACTTGCTCATCCCTCTGCCAGGTGTGCTCTTGGCTGCCACTCTTCGTTTGTATCCCAGCTCAGAAGCTAGCTTTCTGGAGTGGCTTTCTGAGGCCTTAGCCTCTTCAGCAGCCTCCTTCTCTACTGCTCAGAGTCTCTCTGCACTACATTTCCTACTTTATTTTTTGTTTTCTTGATAGCTCTTATGCTCTGAAGTTACTTTTTTAGTTCTCTCTATCCCTCTACCTGTCTGCCTACCTACCTATCTCTGTCTGTCTGTGTGTTCATGTCTTCCCATCAGGATAAAAGATCCAGAAGCCATAGTCCAGAAGTCAGCATCAGCAGCATCTAGAGCAGTACCAGAACATACTAGGTACTTGTGTTGAGAGTCCTCGACACTGCCTCCCGGTTGGTGATTCGCTAGGAGGACTCACAGGACTCAGCATACTCAGAAGCTAAAATTTGTTTCAGCAAAAGGACACATGCAAAATAAGCAAAGGGAAGAAGAGGTCCATTGAGTGAAGTGCAGAGAAAAGAATGTGCAGGCGAAGCTGCCCTGGGCCCTCTGGCTCTTCTCAGGGAGTCACCCAGTGTGTGCATAATTCCCCTAGCACTGAATCATGACAGCCCATGTGAGTTTTACTGCCAGGGAAGTCCTCGAGATACTCCCTAGCCAGAGTTTTTCCTGGAGGCTGCCCACATAGGCACCCTCTGCCCGGCAGGCACCAACATTCCAGACTCCCACAAGGAAGTGGGTGTTCAGCCTATGCTGTGCTGTTCTTCCAGTCCAGGTGTGCAGAACCCCTCTTACCACTTGGGAAACTTATATTAGCATAGTTATTTTTATTTTTAACTGTTTCCCATTCAAGTTCCCAGATGCCAGCCAAAGGTCAACTTGCAGGCAGGCCTTTTGAAGGATAGACCCCTCAGGCCTGCTATGGTAACTTTTCCGCACACTTAAAAAATATTTGTGAATGAATGAATCAACCCAATGGAACTACAGGGCCTTTGGAATCAGACCTTAAGATTCCCAAAGTCAGGAGGGTGTGGCCTCCCCTTGCCAGGAGTCCTACTCCTAGCAGATGGAGGTGAGAGTCAGTAAGCCTATTCTTCCTCCTGTCCTTGGAGCCTTGATACATGTGCCTCTCCGGCCCACAGGTGTTAAAGCACAATGGGTCATCAGAAATTCTCAACAAGTTGTACGACACGGCCATGGACAAGCTGGAGGTGGTTAAGAAGGACTATGATGCCCTGCGGAAGAGGTACAGTGAGAAAGTGGCCGTCCACAGCTCGGACCTGAGCCGCCTGGAGCAGCTGGAGGAAGAGAACCAGCGTCTGCTGAAGCAGACGGAAATGCTGACGCAGCAGAGGGACACGGCCATCCAGCTGCAGCACCAGTGCGCCCTCTCCTTGCGGAGGTAGGAGCCCGCCAGGAGGGAGGGAGCTCCCTGAGAAGAGCCAGGGGGCCCAGTGCAGCTTTGCCTGAGGCCACTCTCCTTGAGCTTGTGGTTATCCGCAAGGCTTCTGGGAGTAAAAAGAGCCTGCGTGATTGTGCTTACTGTCAGAAACTCTCTTGGAAACATTTTCCTGGCGCTCATTGTACCTTGGGAATTGTGCTCGTTTCTCCCATCTGAACAATTCTGGTGCGTTCTGACCTTCCTTCTTCTTAGGTCTCTAAGAGAACCTCTCGTGTCAGTCACCCACCTAGCAAATAGGAGAGTTAATTGTCCTAGGCGTTGTTTCTTCTAAAATGTCATTTTTATTAAGGTACATAATCTGTAGGGAAGTGGCCTCTGCCCTACCACAGTGTTTTGTGAAGGTACATTCCCACAGAACACCTGTTCTCTGGAGTGTTCATTGGTTTCGTATGAAGAGTGTTCCCTGGGTAGAAAAAGGATTAGGAGTTGCTGGGTTGCCCATAGATGGGTGTCTGTACTGCAGGAATTCTCAGAACCTTCATTCTGGTCCTGCGCCCTGGAATCTCCAAGAGGGAGACATAGAGTGCAGTGTTTCCCAAACAGTCATCAGAGAACACACATTTTTTAAAAATGGAATTCCTTGCAGGGTTGATGTCCTAAGGAACACACACACTCTGAGAAACGCTGCTCTGGAGCTGTAGGCTCTGATTTGCAGGGTTGCCTCAGGAAGGTGGAAGGATCAAGCTGTGCTCTCATGCGAACCTGCGGACTTTGGGTCATCGCCTACAGTCAGGGCCTTACCGTCTGTATCTGTAACGTAAGGTAGTCAGACTAAATGATCTCATACACTGTGATTCTCACATCATTTCATTTTTACTTTTTTATAATAGTGTAGCTTGACTGTGGGAGAAACACACTGTTATTTGTAATAGAACAAAGGGTATGAAGTCCTCAGTTCAACTTGCGGTATCGCAAAAGGCTGAGAAGAATTCCAGTTTCAGGGGCACTGGTACTGCATGACTTTTCTCTCTTGGGGGGTGCAGAGAATGACCACACTTGAAACTTCATGCTTGACTGTCCCGCACAGTGGAGCTGACCCAGCAGGAGCCCACCCCCCACGTGCTAGCTGCCTTTCTTCCCCAGGTTCGAGGCGATCCACCATGAGCTGAATAAGGCCACAGCCCAGAACAAGGACCTGCAGTGGGAGATGGAGCTGCTTCAGTCGGAGCTGACGGAGCTGAGGACCACACAGGCAAAAACCGTGAAGGAGTCGGAGAAGTACAAGGAGGAGCGGGATGCGGTGTACAGCGAGTACAAGCTCATCATGAGTGAGCGCGACCAGGTCATCTCCGAGCTGGACAAGCTCCAGACCGAGGTGGAGCTGGCCGAGTCCAAGCTCAAGAGCAGCACATCCGAGAAGAGGGCGGCGAGCGAGGAGATGGAGGCACTGCGGCAGGTGGGCGGCCGGTCGGCTGGCCCCTGGCTCTGGGAAGGAGGCACGGAGGAAGGCTGCGGGCGCGCTGGCAGACTGGGCGCCGCCTCTGAGTCAGCGTGGAGGCTCCTGGGCTCAGGCCCGTGCGCCAGCTGGGGCTTTGGGCGCGGCCCAGGTGACCGCCGAGCTCTCAGCGCGGTGCCCAGCTCTAGGCTGGGGGAGCAGGGGCCACAGAGGGAGGTCCAGGCTGTCAAGGTGAAAGCCATTGTGAAAAGGAATATTACTTGGATGACATTTTTAAAAGACGACAATGAGGAATTTTTAATAAGCAAAGCTAATATATTAGAACTTGGTAATTGTCCTGGAGAAACCATCCCCTTATTTCCACATTCTGGTATCAGAGAGCTTAGTTATTGGGAAAATGTTGATATCAAATTAGGGGGAAAAATGATGAAGAAAACTTTGAAAATGAGTGTGCCACTAAACTAAAAAGTCCAGGATAACATGTTAAATGCATAGATGAGCCCGTGATAGGACCTCCCACTTGCAGAGGTGTTTTGAGATCAGAGATGTGAACCGTGCTGTTTGTAGCAACATGGAAAGCCAAGAGAAGCACGGAGAACCTCTGACTTCCTGCAGGTCTGGCTTCCAGCGGCAGCCTGTCAGTCTGCTCCCAGCACTCTTGCGGACCCTTAGCCTGGAGCCCGGTTCCTGGGCCTTCACAGGGGGAATTGCCTGCTTTCAGAGCTGAAAGCCCCAGTTCCTTCTTGAGTCTGTCTGGCTCCTCAGATACGACCACCCCCCACTAGGCCAGAAGAGGCTGGTCTGTGGCCTGGGCATCTCAGCTTTGAGGTGTGGGCAGGGTCTAATCTTCCTGTGGCCTGATGAGGCCCTGGGGACAGACCCCACCCCTCTTGAGCAGCGTTTCCTGGGGTGGTCAGCAGAGGTAGACCTCCAGCCAGGCAAGCTCCCCATCTCAGCTGCCTTCATCCTGCTCAGCCAAGGGAGTGGTTCTCTTCTTTCTGACAAGTGGTGCCTCCCCTGCACACTCCTCCTTTCTCTTTGCCTCTCCCTCTTTGTTTACCTTAGTCTCTCTCACTCTCTTACTCTCCTCCCTTCTTCGTCCCCCTTTTCCAGAGTAGGTAGTGGCCAAGAGGGGAGGTTGTCAGAGTCTTTGCCATGCTCTGACCACCAGGTCGGCTCTGCCCTCTCTCCTGCTCCCCACCTCCCTGAGTGGGCATGTCTGCAGGGCTTCCCTCACAGGGGCTGCTGGCCCAGCCTCTGGCCGTTGGCCTGCCAGGCTCAGTGCAGGCTCAGGAAGATGGAGGAGCAGCCAGGGGCAGCTGGTTCCTGCCCCTGGAAGCTGCGAGCCCCTGCTGCCGGTCACAGAAATTCTTCCAGATAACAAGTCGCTTCCTGAGACAGGCCCCTCTGACAGAGCCCCTGTCGCATAGAAAGGCCAGCTTGGTCACTTGGTAACCTGAGTGGCCTGAGTGGCTGAACCAGCAGGGGCTTCTGGTGTCTCTGCCTTCCTGCTGCCTCTGAACACAGTGGTATCTCCAGCTTCAGCCCTGCTCGAGGAGCTCAGCTCAGCGCTGATGGATGGAAGGCAGTGTGAGGGAGGAGGCCCTGTTGGAGGTAGAGGACAAGGCAGGAACAGACATCAGGAGATGCTTTCTGACTCTCTTGATGGGTGTGCTTAGGGAACACAGACCCCCCCCCTCCACCCCGGGACCCTGGCATGCGCTCTGCCCCTGCTGGGGGCTGAGTTGCAGCACACATGGGCCTTTACTCGTCGGCCTCATGCCTGGGCTGGGCATGTGTTTTAGGAAAACCAGCCCTTCTTTTCCCCAGCCTGTGGCCCCCAGAGGAGATCGCAGGGGATACTTTTGTGATGAAGAGCTGACGTTTGGGGAGCACAGTGCAGAGGAAGAAGCCCTGGCATGAGTCTGGGAACCTGGGATCTGGGTCAAGCTCGCCCAGTGGTGGATGTGGAGCAGTCACTGCCTGGAGCTTGAGCTCCTCCCTGGTGTGATTGGGATCCGGCAGAGGAACCTCAGCTCCCAGGTTCTGCTTCCCGTTTTAAGACACCTTGTTACCTCCTCTCCTCTCTCAGTAAAACTAAGTGTTGTACTTCTTGTATTTCTCATAAGGAAATGGTATCTTGGTGATGGATTCATTTTGAATACCAGCAATGGGAGGGAAACACCCAGTGGGAAGGAAAGGGAGTTGGGGGGAGAGGGTGGGAGCTGCCTAGTTCCCCTAGGTCCCTCCGGTGGTCGCCACCTCTGGTCCTCAGCTGGAGATAATTATCCAGGGCCAAGTAGAAGACCTTTCAATAAAACCACATGTTAACACATTTCAAGTATAAAACTGTTAATGTATACAAACTGCCAAGTAAAATGCAAATTAAAAAGTGTTATTGTTAAACTTAGTATTATAGTAAATTCTTGACAATTAATAAAAATAATTCGATTTTAAGAAATAGCAAACAAAACAAACACTCATGCATGAAAGTGAGGGAAAAACTGAAATAATTTAAATTGGTTTTGGGAAATGTGAGTTCTTAGCAGAGCATGTCACCATCACTTTTGAGTTAAGGTATGTTTTTTTGTGCACATTTTTTTTTCTAGCTGCTTCTGACTCTACACTTAAGAGATGAGGGTTAGTTGTAAGCTGAGTTGACGTATTTTTCTCTGTCTCCCTCATCCTTGTCTCTTGGCTGAACCTTTGAGATCGTTTTGGATATGCTTTAGTGGAGGCTGCATCTCTGACCGTCATGGAGAGTGAGCTTGGGGTCAGCAGAAGTGCACTTGGTGTGTCTGTCTTCCTCATTCTTATCACTAAAGGTGAAGATATGCAGCGCAGAGGCAGCAGTGTCTGTTCCTCTCTTGCATGTGTTTTCCTCCTTCAGAAAGCCTTTGAGCTAGAGTCGGAGTTACTTTTCAGTAGATTCTCGCTTTGTCACTTGTCATGTCCCCTGTGTTTCCTAGGGATTATAGAGGCACAGAGGGAGCTTTCTGTATGAGTGCTTTGGAAAGTCTGATTTGGAACTTTCACGGAGCATGTAATGTTTTGGGGAGGTCAAGATGCAAATGCTTCAGATGTCAGCTTTTTTTTTTTATTAACGTATCATTGATACACAATCTTATGAAGGTTTCACATGACCAACATTATGGTTACAACATTGACCCATATTATCGAGTCCCTCCCCCATACCCCATTGCAGTCACTGTCCATCAGCATACTAAGATTCTAGAGTCACTGCTTGTCTTCTTTGTGCTATACTGCTTTCCCCATGACCCCCTTACATTATGTGTGCTAATCATAATGCCCCTT